CCTTGACAAGGTAGAAGGCGTCGCAGTTGCCGACCATGCCAGGCTGGATGGGAGTGGGCGTGTTGATTCCGTTGCTGGGTGCGGTGGTGGTCGGGATGGCAGCAGGGACGGTTGTGCTGACGGATGGAGAGTGTCCAATGGTGCTGACGCACACGTACGCGTTGGCCCAGAGCCCGGAGCAGGAAGCGCCGCCGACTTGCGGGTTCCAAGTGGTGAACTGGGTCAAGGAGATGCCGTTGCTGGCGGCGATGGTAGTGCAGCTATCGCCCAACTTGACAAAATAGAAAGAGTCGCAGTCACTGACCATGCCGGGTTGGATCGGCAGGGGTGTGGTGATGCCGTTGCCCGCCGGGGCGGTAGTGGTGGTCGCCGGTACGGTCGAGGTGGAAGGAGTGGAGGGACCACCGGTCACGGCGGGCGGCTCGACACCGCCAGCCGGCTCTCCGTATGCCTCAACGCAGTAGCTCCGGCCCTCGATGAAGTTTCCGCAGCTGGCGGTGAGGGAGGGGTTCTAATACCGGTTAGTGGATGGGACTTGATGATTGGACTGGACGACACCAGCGGCCGCAAGTTGGACATGGCCAAAGACTAAGGACTTACCCATCGCAAAAAGTCCTCCATCTCAATGCTCCACGAGTCAGGGACCCATTCACAGTCAAGACTTCCATCGTTGTCGTACCAATAAGTGCAGTACTTGGTGGTCTTCGGGTCGAAGGGCAATTGGACACTTCCGGCGTCCGACTGTTGGAGACACTGGGAATTGTCCCCGGTTTGGCGTTCCTTGGGCGGTTGACGTACTCGATGAACTCGTTGAACGTCAACGTGCCGTGAGGTTTTGCTGTGCCAAATCCATCTCTGAGGATTTCGATGTCGTCGACACTGGAGTACCGCCAGTCGAGGTCCGTGATGTGCGCCTGGTAGACGTACCAGATGAACATGCGCTCGTACGCACCACGGATGCCCCCGGCCAGGACACCGGTGCTGAGGCAGGAAAGTAGGAGGGCAAAGGAGAAGCGCATTGTGGTCGGAAAGAATTGGAATCACCCGACCGTTGGCGAAAGCGAAAGATTGATATGACCAACAAGGGAATACAAAAAAGAGAACGTCGTGATGCGCAACAGGACGTTCGACGATCAGAATGTTGGAGAGAAAACCTCGGGGATGTTGTGAAAGACGTGAAAGAAAAGGGAAGAAATCCAGAGGTAGGTTACAAGAAACTCGCAACGGCTTTAGGCATTCGACTTCTCTCTTTTCATATTCGAGCTCCCGAGTCTGTTTCCCAAGGAGAAAACATACCTAGAGGTACCTTACCAACAGGATAAGTTTACTGCAAGAGAGTCATCTCAATCCTACAGCTAACTGCTCCATCTAGATCCTATTATCACGGGGATCTGGCCTCATTGGGAAGAGAATACCACCTGTTACTTCGCAAGTGTATCGTCCTGCTGGGGTTTCAAACTTGTCCGGCGCGTGCTTGCAATTCCGGAAATTGAGGCGCGACCAAATTTGCCCGAGAGCCTGTCCGCACCCTAGGTCGGAACGTCTGTGAATCCTATAATCCATCAGAGAAAATGTCTCCAAATGTCGGTGTGTATGTCCAATCCAACCCTGGTAAGTCCGTTGGCGTGGTACTCAGACCAAGCGCTTTCCTCCTTCAAGTTGGTCAAGTAGGATTTGACGGCGGGTCAACATCGCGAGCGGTGCTCATGGTGGTGAAAATGGAGTAAAGGCAGTGGTTGTTGGTTGTGTGTGAGCTCGTAGTGTTGCAACCCATTTTAGCACTGAAAAGACTTCCAAAGCCAATGGATTACCCTGTTTCCCTATCCACCTAAGTATCACGCCAACAAACTCTCCAGCATTGTATTGTATTTCATCATGACCTCTGGGTGTTCTGGATTCTCACGATGTAACTGTACACCCTCGTACAAGTGTAGGTAATCTCCTCGAGCGAGTTGGTCACGCTCCAGACCGACCAGGGGTGATGTGATGGCCGTTGGGGACCCTACTCCACCTCTACATTTCCAGGTGCTAGGTGAGCTGTTCCATCCTTCGACGTCTGCAAAGCCAGGCTCCGACCGGGAAACTCTTGGGATGGTGCCTGGCACCCCATGAACGTATGAACCAGACCCAAGCAGCGAGCGCCAGAGCAGAGGGTCTACTGGTGACATGTATCGGGCAGTGGGGAATTTAGAGAATTCTTGTGACTCCCGAGGTCCAGTCCGTGAGGGCTGTGATTCCATCAGACTACCGACTGTTTGCAAGGAATAATCGTTAGATAATCTACCTGAATACGTACGGTGCCTGTAGGTACATATAATACGGACGTTCAACCGCCTGTCGCCCATCAGTTCTCCTTCTGCACCATCATCGGCGGCATCTCCGATTCTTTTTCTCCCTTCTTGGGGGTTCACACATCTTTTTCAACTTGGTATTCCCTTACCAACTCTCTCTTTGTTCAAGTCCTTCGTCCTCAACATTCGCTCTTTTCCTCCTTTCACCAGATCCCACAATGGGACGTCCATCTGCCACCTCTTTTGGCAAACTGGTCTCGTCCCTCTTCGCATCATGGGCAGTAGTCTCAGATGTCATCGGGGGGATTGCCAATGCCGCCGCTCTTGCTTCCCCCTCTGACGCTTTGGAGAGTCCCTCTCCCTTCTTCTCCCAATTAAGGCGCTGTCCTGCCGCCTGCAGCAACTGCCAGTCCCCGGAAGAATGGACCGTTTACTCGACCTTTGACCGGCTCAAACACTGCAACGAAACCCTCTTGATCGACTTTTCCATCCACATCCCGCTGGACACCCCGGACATTGTGGTCAGGGCGTGCAGCACGGCTGGCAATGCACCAGTCAACCCTGCTGTTGCTGAGATCGTCACCTCTCAGTCCTTACTTGATGGCGAGGACGAAGGCGGATTCTCTACCGCTGCTGCTGCTACCTCTGATGTCTGTGTCGAGGCAAGTAATAGTAACACTGTCGAGGCGGAACTGGCCTGGCGGGCCGGCGAGCACTCCAGCGTCAGTGGTGATCGCGATGATGTCCTTCTTGCTGCCCAAGAGGTGCAGCGCAATCTCCAGACTGTTGATGGATGTGATGAAACCATCATTTTTGGCTAGTAAGCTTGGCCCTTCTTACATTTGCCGCTTATGGCAGTCACGATATTTTGCTAACCGAGACTTGGCGTCTAGCTCCAATGAGGTAGTGGTCGGTGTCTTCGCCGGTTCCAAGGTTGACAAGGCTAGTGTGGCATCTCTAATCAACGCCCAGTTTCTTGCCAAAGACAGGAGGGAAACTGTTAACCCGGAAAGCGTGTCAAGCTTTCTCCAGATCTGTGGCAAGGGACGCAATGCTGACTACACTGTTGGAGTTGCTGCCGGCAACATCGCTTCAGTTCAGGCCGCAGTCCTGTCTTGGAGCAAGGCCGTCTGTGTCGATACCAGTGGGGCCACGAAAGTGGAACGACAGAGCGTTCAGATCAAGACTCGTCCATATAAAAAGCCCGTTTCGCAAAGCATCTACAGCAACAGCACAGCCCTCCAACCCCGTCTTTACCTCGCGGATTGCACCACTGTCAAGGTCGTTTCGGGTGACATATGCCAGACTCTCGCCGAGGACAAGTGCGGTATTACCTTGACTAAGTTCAAGTCGTATAACAACTTGACCGACAGCGGCTGCAACAGTCTAGTGGTCGGCCAGGCCGTGTGCTGCACGATCGGCCCTCTCCCAGACATTCGACCCAAGCCAAAGGCCAACGGGGAGTGTGCCTCGTACATCATCAAGAGCGGTAATAGCTGTTCGTCCATCGCCGCCGCCAACGGTCTCACCGTCGACGACCTTGACAAGTTCAACAAGAAGACGTGGCAATGGAACGGCTGCGACCTGATCCTTCCCGGCGTCAAGATCTGCCTAAGCACCGGCGACCCGCCGTTGCCTGCGCCCGTCAGCAACGCCATCTGCGGTCCTACAAAGCCGGGCACAACCCGGCCGAGTGACAAGTCAAAGGAGCTTGCGGATCTCAACCCATGCCCCCTAAATGCATGCTGCAACATCTGGGGCCAATGCGGCGTGACCGATGAGTTTTGCAAGATCACAACGTCCAAGTCGGGCGGCGACACGGGCTGCATCTCCAACTGCGGTATGGAGATAATTAAAGGCGCCGAGCCGCCCGCATTCTACCGCACGGTGGGCTATTTCGAAGCTTGGAACAAGGAACGGCCGTGCCTCCGCATGGATGCCAGCCAGATCGATGCGGAGAAGTGGAATACGGGTTCACTTTGCGTTTGCTGACATCACGGCAGACTGGGAGGTCAGCATCCAGTACATGGACCAGTTCAACAAGTTTAAGGCGCTTAAGAATATCAAGCGCATCGTGGCCTTTGGCGGCTGGGCCTTTTCGACCGAGGTGGCGACGTATGCGCGCTTCAGAGAGGGCGTGCAAGAGGCGAACCGCGAGGTGCTCGCTACGAAGATCGTTGCCTTTGTCAAGCAACACGGCCTGGACGGTGTCGACTTCGATTGGGAATATCCTGGCGCCGGTGTGAGTGTCCTATACCTTCAGTAAAGTGCATTGGGAAAGGGGCGTAAAAACGAAATGGTTGCTAATCTCGTTGTTGTTGCTGCTTTAGTCCCCAGATATTCCTGATATTCCCCCTGGTACACCGGATGACGGCCCCAATTATGCCGCGTTCCTCAAGCTGGTCAAGCAGAAGTTGAGAGCAGTCAATACGAATCTGACTTTATCGATCGCTGCCCCCGCTGGGTATTGGTTCCTCAGGGCCTTTCATCCCCTGGACAAGATGGCCGAGAGCCTGGATTATATCGTTTACATGACTTATGATCTCCACGGTATGTCCTCAAGAATCCCCCAAGTACAAAGAAGTCGCTTCCTAACCCGGATTCATTCTCATCACAGGTCAGTGGGATTATGGCGGGCCATGGGCCAGCAGCGGCTGTCCAGAGGGTAACTGCCTCCGGTCTCACGTCAACTGGACCGAGACTGTGAGCGCCCTCACGTTGATTACCAAGACCGGAGTGCCCGCTTCCAAGATCCTTTTTGGTATCGGCAGCTATGGCCGGTCCTTCCAAATGACGGATCCCGGCTGCCGCGACGTGAACTGTCACTTTGTCGGGCCTCAGTCTGGCGCCACGCCGGGGCGATGCACCCAAACAGCGGGCTACATTTCCAATGCTGAGATCAATGACATCACGTACATCGCCACCCCCGGTGTCAAGACCTGGTCCGACCAAGAGAGCCTCACAAACTTTGTTGTGTACAATGGCGACCAGTGGGTGGCCTACTCGGGCGGTTTATTCACATGGAGGAGGGAGGAGTGGGCGAGGATTTGGAACTTTGGCGGGACATCGGAATGGGCCATCGACCTCCAAGAGTACCACTACCCCGTGTATGGTGATGAACTCGAGGAGGGCATGGAGTTAGACGACGAGGGGCTGTGGGACGCCCCCAAGGCTGAGTACTGCGAGCCCAAGTCGTTCAATGAGCTGGACGACATCCCCGATGGTCAAACGGCCAAGTGCGGCGCCATCTACGTGCTGGAAACGCTCGCCAACATGTTGAAAGCAGATTTGGCGACATACAAGGACATCCTCAGCAACAGCTATGACAAGAAGTTCAAGGTGTACGCTGAGGTCGTGGCGGAGCTTGCACCAGATCAGGTTCAGGACTTTTTGCTCGAGCACGGTAACGATTACTTTACGTGCGTTGTGAACGAAATCTTTTACTGCGCGGCGTGGTGCGGCAGGGAATGGGGACTCGGGGATTCGTATTGTCGGTACATTACCATTGACACATGCCAGGCCAGCCATGGCGGCCCCGGAGTTACGTTCGGGAACGTGACGGAGCCGTGCCCGCCCGACTACTCCAAGCGAGGCGCCGGCGACTATCCTGCGCTACGCGACCAGCGAACGGTGTATTGGAGCCTCCGACCGGACAAGGCCGATTCCTTCTACAAGGACTTGTTGAATGCAACGGGCATCGACAAGAACGACACAGTAATCAACTGGCACACGAAAGAGCAGCACAAGAGGTTGGAGTGTCGCGAGTTTCCTAGATGCCTTGACCATGGAGAATGGGACTGGGGCCCGACAACCAAGGGCAACTACAGCGTTTCGGACGTGACGAATCCCAAGGAAATAATCGAGAAGCTCCTCGACACCGCCAGTGGTCTGGAGCACGAACTCCGCATAGCGGCGCAGGAGATATACGCCGGCACGTCCGAGGTGATGTATAGTGACATGGTGGATTCCACGGGGCTGCCCGTGCTGATGATCAGACAAGCAGTAGAATCCATGAAGCAGGTGGTGGAAGCAGCCGACGAGATCAACAAACAAAGGAAGAAGCAGATGATCCTGTTTTTCTTAATGGCCTTTTTGTTCCTGATCCCCATCGGCGGATCGGCCATTGGGGCCATCGGCGGACTGGCAAACCTTGGAAGGATCGTTGCAATGGCGGGCGAGGCAGCCATGATTGGCCTGGATATTTATTCAGTGACTCAAGATCCGTCGCAAGCCCCGTTCTTGATCTTTGGCAACATTCTGTCCGTGGGTGCCCTGAAGAACCCAGTCAAGATGAACACGGCTGCTGCGGCAAGACGGGCCATGGGCCCAGATGACATTTCCAGGCTAGGTGAGATCGTGACCAAGGGCCTGGGAAAGATTGCCACTGTTGTCTCCAAGGTCTGCAGGTAGTATGAGTTAGTTAGCGTTGACGGAAAAGGGGATATTTTGGCATTGTAGAATAGAGGTACACGACAAACTTTGCTTTTATCTTGTGTCATGTGTACAGGCCGAGACCAAATGCGGGCGACCGTTGACTTTGTCCATTTGTTGGGCCTTCCTTTGTATGTTGGCCAACTTGCTGATGGACTGAAAGAAAGGAAGCCATGTAAAAGTCAGGTAATTTTTGTCCATGATTGTATTAGGCTCGCTAGGGCAAGCAGTCGCCTAACAGACAAATAGACTAAGACCGCGGTAGGTGACGCACGTGGCACGTGCCTGTGTCTTCCACTTCGGATCCGGATCTTGTGCAGGTGTCTTTTTGGCTTTGTCACTTTACACCAAATCTGACCAATCAGAGCCCTCTCTCAAACTTCTGACCCAGACGATAGATCTGGTCCAGGCAGTAAGGAATCAGACTGCTATGGAAGCTGCATGTGCGGCATGGGCAGATGCCCCCTTCTACCTCTACTGCAGTTGGTCTAGTGACCCGTTGTTCATCCGTACGATACGGCAAGTAAGCTAAGGGCAGCTTGACGGGAGTTGACCAAGAGACGTCCAGCCAGTACCCGAGAGAGAATGGATGAAGGTACACTAAAAGGTCACTTCAGCCCCAAACAATAGTCCCATCCCATCAACGGGTATGATTCATGCATGCTGGTCCTAGACTCTGGCCACCCCACGGTCAGGGCACAAAACCCAGCTCTGGCATCACGCCTTCCCTTTCGGGATTCTTTCTCCTGTTCAACTTTTTCTTCCGTCAACGTTAGCATTGGGTAGTGCAGTCCGTCCTTGCGCTTCGTACAGTCCTTTCCACCCTGTGACACCGTGCTTTCTGTGTGCGCCTGTTCTCCAATAAGAACTTGCAAGTCCCTGTAGATCGTTACGCTTCCCCAAACTGCCCCGAACAAAATGCATTTAACCAATCAGAAAGCCCAATTCATGAGCAGGACCATGTACAGCATATCCAGCCTCTATTTCCTAGTGTACGGAATGGAGTTCCATACGCAGCATCAGACACAACATCAGTAAGTTTGAAACCTTTCAAGCAGAATGAGAGCCTAGCGACACTATTTTTTTTTTATTTTTTATGATCTCCTATGCTTTTCATACACGTATACAGCGTAGTCTGTCAAGTGAGCCTCATCCTCTTTCGATCTATCGGTTTGCAAAGATTAAAGCTTTTGCAACGATTAAAGCTAACATATCGACAGAGAAAATATGCCTGTGGGCACTATCGCTGGATAGCGTCCCAGTGGTGTCATGAATACACCACCACCCATAAGAAGTGTGAACCGAACGTAGTTGACTTTCAGAACACGTCAGTTTCTTACACAAGATGTCAAAGGCACAACCAAGCTCTGGTTGTTGGTCGAGGAAAAGGGGGGTTTGACCTCAGTGTCCCCCTTCTGGTATTGTGAGTATCGAAGTACGATATCGCCAATGTAGTTGTCCTTCCCATGTATGCCTAAGCTGCATTGTTCACAATTCACCGGGTCTTTCCGATGGACGTAGTCGTTGATTTTGGAGTCCTTCTCCCATTTTATACTCACATACTCCGTGATGGGCTTTCTGTGTTTGATTGCTCCGGGTATTGGCGTTGTCCCAGTTCTAGGGACAAACATTTCCGAGCCGTTGGGACTCGGTGGTAGACGGGCTCTAGCTGGGATATTGTCACACGGACATTCGACCT